TGTGTCTGCAGAGAGCAGAGCCGGGCTGAGAGGCAGCAGCACTGCTGTGGGCACTGCTCAGGGCCCCCAGCCTGGCTGCTGTCTGTCCCCAGGAGCGTGGCAGTGTCCCAGCAGTGGCACAGTGTCCCAGGAGCCCTGGGGATGCTCTGCTGCATCTCTGCTGCTGGGGGGTCCCTCACGCTTGCTCCTCCTCTTCCCCCAGCACTTTCCAGCCCTGGGCTGGTTTTGGGGGGTGGTCCCAGAATCTGAACGTGGCTCCTGGGCTTGGTGAGGGCAGTGGTTGCTCTGGAGAGGGGTGAGGGGGATGAGATCCACAGGGATGCATTCCCACCTCAGCACCTGCTGGGAAGTGTTTGGGAGTGTGGTGCCCCCTGGCCTGGGGTGGCATTGTGGCTAATCAGCCACCTCAGTTTGCCCCTGGCCCAGTGCCCAGCAGATCCAAAGCCCCTGAAGGCACTGGATGGGCACTTGTCCACTCCACCTGATGATGGATCAAGCCTGTCCTGGAACAAACAGGAATAAAATACTTGTTGAGCTATTTGTTCCTTCTGTTGGCTTTTCACTGTAGCCCTAGCACCTAGACAAGGTTTTTCACCTTGCCTGGAATCTGTCACGGGATCCTGACTTCCCAAATCTGCCGTGCTGCCTCTTCTGTTGCTCTGTTCCCGCTCCTCCCCTTTCAGAGGCTGTGCTCCTCTCTTTCCATCTTCATCACCCAGTCCACACACACAGGGAGGAGCTTGGCTTGGAGCTGCTCGTGGACAGCTTCAAACAGTGGAATCAGATGAATGAATAAAGGGGATTTTTGTTGCTCTTATCCTTTCATCAGCTTGATTTGGTTCCAAGCAGTTGATTTTGCAATTGCTGTTCCATCTTTGTGCTTAGGGTCAAATTAAGATCCTGCTGGAGATGGGAGCAAAGTGCTGTGGAGTTGTACGGGACAAGGAAGGGCTGAATTCTGCTTCTGGTAGAGGAGCACTTGGTTCTGCTCGTTTTGCTTGTGCTGAGCCTGAGGCTCCCCCTGCCAGGCAGGCTAAGCAGGTCAAATGCAGCATTAGGATGTTCCTAGAAGTGCCTGCGAGCCTTTTTGGCCCCCAGCTTTGGGGCAGGAGGGACATGAGCTGCTGCTGCTGCTTCCCAGGCTGCTCCAGGGGTTTTCTGTGCTTCTGCTTGCTTGTAGGAGGAGGAGATGTTTCAGTATCAATGAAAACCCTGGGTCAGTGGAGGTTGTAGCATCATTAATGCTGGAAAAGGCCTTTAAGGCTGACTCCAGCCATGGATCTCATAGTGCCATGGATCTCACAGTGCCACCTTCGCCCCAGGGCCCCGTTCTGAGTGCTGTGGTCTGCACCAGGCAGGACCCTGTCCCTCGGTCTGGAGGGGCTGCAGGGACCCTGTTCCTCGGCCTGGAGGGTCTGCAGGGACCCTGACCCTCGGCCTGGAGGGGCTGCAGGGACCCCTGAGTGCCCAGGCTCCTCCTGCCTCCCCTGGCCACGGGAGCCACGAGTGGAATCTCCTGGCCCAGTGCTGGGTCTGTCAGCTCCTGCAGGCCAGGCCACCCAGCCAGGAATGTGGGAAGCTGAGGGGGCCCTGGGCCTGACAGCAGGGACTGCCTTAAAAACAAATGAAAGAACAGAGGGAGAAATATTTCTAATGATTGTGAACTTTAGGAACAGAAAATAAAAGCTTATTCTTTCGCAGGGGTCCCTCTGCAGCCTGTAATTTCATTTCCCCCATTTGCTTTTACTGCTTGCTCTGGGTCCTGTCAGAGCCCCCTGATTTACAGGCGACAGCTTTGGCTGTTTGTCAGGGGAGGCTCTCTAAATATAAGAGTGTGAAACCTGTCCTGCTGCCAGCAGCTCTGAGAACTGAACTCATGAGCTGCAGCATGAGGCAGAGGGCTGGGTGGCTCCAGTGGCTCCCAGAAAAGCCACTGTCCCTCCTTCCTCTGGGGAGAGATTTCCCTTGCACTGCCCAGAGCCCCTGGGCCTGCAGCTGGGTGGTGGGAGCAGGGCAGGCAGGGGCTCTCTGCTCTCTGCAGCCCTGCTCAGCTCTCAGCTGGCCCTGCTGGGCTCAGCACCACGAGGCACAGCTTTACTGAGCCGGGGTTTAGCCCGGGGCTTGGTCTCAGGTTTTGTTTTATTCTCATCATGAAAAGGCAAAGCAAATGAGCCAAATGAAGCCTCACACAATGGCAGTGATGCAGGACAGCCTGCTGATGAAGTGAATTGGTAATTATGTCTGGAAACTGGGGGAAGCCTGAGCAGATCTCAGCGTGTGCTTTAAGCTCTGGCTGATAAGGAGAAGCTCTGTTCCCAGTGTGATGATACTTCTGTGTGTCTGTCTGTCCCTGTCTTCGGTGGTGCCTTTTTTGGATGGTGTTAAGAAAATGTGGACCTCTGCCTGTCAATGTCTTGGAGCTCAGAAGAATTAATTTGGATTTAAAGTGGGCCACGTGTGTCCCCACTCTCCCAGAAGCCATAATTCCATCATGAACTATAAAATTCTGGGTTTGCCCATTTTCAGCATCACAAAAGGCTCCTTGTTTGAGCAAGGGGTCTTTACACCCTGCTCTGCAAAGGGTGCTCCTGTGGATCCCAACACCCTGGGCCTGATTTACAGCCTGGCTGGGCTGAGCCTGGGCTGCTGCTGCCAGAGCAGGGGGAGCAGCCCTGGGAGCCCTGGCTCTGCTCTGAGCACAGCTGGATGCAGGGGGCAGCTTGTGCTGCACAAAGGAGGCTTTTTGCTTCAGTTTTTGGGCTGGGGCACAGAATCTCAGACTGGTTTGGGTTGGAAGGGACCAAAGCTCACCTTGTCCCACCTCTGCCATGGCAGGGCCACCCTCCATGGCTCCAAGCCCCAGTGTGTCCAGCCTGGCCTGGAGAAAGGGGCACCACGGTGACCAAACGTGCTTGCAGGGGCTGGGGTGCCTCCAGGGCTGCTCTGTGCTGCTGGGGCAGGCTCTGGGGCACATCCTCTCCCTGTGTTCTGCTGCCAGCCCAGGGTGGGAGCTCGCACAGCCCTGTAGGACCCTGGCTGCAGCTCTTTTTTTATACCCTCCGAGTCCTGCAGAGGGAATCTGCTGCATGGTGTCCTCCAGAGCCTCTGGGGCAGCTCCTGACCGGGCATGAGAGCCAGCAAATGGGGTTTCTGGAATGTCTGTGCAGTGGAGGCCTGGCTCATCTCAGGTGTCACGGCCTGGAGGGAACTCCCCAGTCCCACCAGAGCCCCCCGTGCCTCAGCCAGAGCCCGAGGTGGGCTGGGCTGGGCCAGGAGCGTGTGGGAGCGTTTCCCACTGGAGCAGGTCCTGGTCCCTGGCGTGGGCAGCTCCAGGAGAGCCTGGGCAGGGCAGCAGCCATCCTGTGCCTGCAGCAGGAGGGGAGCCAGCTCTGCCTGGCCAGCCCTTCCCAGGTGCCGGGGCACTGCTGGGACAGCTCTCGCTGGCAGGTGCTGCGGGGAGAGCAGCTCGTGCTCAGAGCATTCCCAGGGGTGTCCTGGAGCCCTTTCTCCCTGGCCTCTGGAATCACTTCAGGCCAGTAGCCAAGCACAGGCTGTAAATAACAAAGTGTGGCTGATGAGCCCAGCTCCTTCTGCCGTGGGATGTTGTGAGCTCTGGGCTTTCCCTTGGCATCCTCTCTCCAGTGCTTTGCATTCCCATCCTCAGCTCCCAGGGCACTCCTGTTACGCTCGTGGTGTGAAGGATTTGCTTCTGTGGGGCCTCCCCAGGATGTAATGCAGGGAGAGCTGCTGGAGCAGGCTCTGCAGGCAGGGAGTGTTTGTGTGTCCTCTCCCTGTGGCTTCTTTAGCATTTCTGCTTTGGGAAGGGTCAGAGAGAAGGTCAGAGGAGAAATATCTGGGATTTGCATCAGCCTCTGTCTCAGCTCTCCAGCTGGGAAATTTGGGAGATCTCATGGCCTTGTCTGGGGTTCTTTGCACCCAAGCACCCACAGCCACACAGGAAAATTCAGCTGGTGGTATCCAAACTTTCTTCTGACACCAAAATTCCCAGACCAATCAAAAATCCAGCCTGGGGATGTTCTCCATCACATCGCTTTTTTACCATTTAGGAAAGAGTACAGCCCCCTTACTGCTGTGTGAGATGATGCTGTGGCAATTGGGCACTGCAGCTGAGCCCGAGGCCCTCTAGGAACACCGGGAATATCCCGGGAGTGGCAGTATTCATCCAGGACTAAATAGCAGAGCAGCCATTCCTGCTGCATGCACGTGTCCTGCTGTCCTGGACGTGTGAGCCCAGCTAGCCTCTTCTCCCCTGGAGCTGGGGACGTTGCCGTGCTGCAGGGAAGGTGACAGTTCCAAGGAACACCGCGGTGGGAGGTGTGGGCTGGCCCCACATCCCAGAGCCATGCCCCCTGTCCCTCCCTGCCCACCCCTCAGTGTGCCCGCTCCTTGCCTCTCCCTTGGTGGCTGGGTGGGGGACGGAGCTGGATCTGTGCTCTGCAGAGCGTGGGGTGGCTTTGCCTGGTGGGGATGGCAGCAGCCGCTCTCAGCTCCTTTCTGCACAGTGCAGGGTGGCTTTGCCTGGTGGGGATGGCAGCAGCCGCTCTCAGCTCCCTTCAGCGTGTCCTGCCCGCCTTGGGCTCTGTCCTCTGAGGTGAGCCAAGTCCCTTGGGCAGCGCTCAGCCACAGAAATAAAGGCTCAAGGGCTGGCAGTGATGGCTAGCAGCCATGCCTTCCATGGATCATTTGGGTCTCGATGCAGAGTAGCCACAGGCTGGTCCCCATGGGGTCCCTGGTGCCACCAAAGGCCTCCTTTGTGACCCTGCCGGGGGGCAGCGCCTGGCTGTGCTCTCACGCCGTGTTTCTGGTTGCAGAGGATGAGCTCTCACGCTGTGTTTTTGGTTGCAGAGGATGAGCTCTCATGCCATGTTTTTGGTTGCAGAGGATGAGCTCTCACACTGTTTTTGGTTGCAGACGATGAGCTCTCACGCCGTGTTTTTGGTTGCAGAGGATGAGCTCTCATGGCGTGTTTTTGGTTGCAGAGGATGAGCTGCCCTCGCCCAACGTGGGGCTGCCCAGCGCGCTGATCCCCCGGCAGCCGCCCGGGCCCGCGTACGTGACCCACACGGGCCCGCTGGTGCGGCGGCTGCGGCAGCAGGACGGGCTGGGCGCGGCCGCCCCCGACCCGCTACCGACACCAGAACCGGCTCTGCACCCGCTCCACAGCGAGCCCAGGCCCCGCTCGGAGCTCAGCACCTCTCCCACCCCGGAGCATCCCCCGGGAGCTCCCGAGGACGCGCAGACCTCGGCACTGCCGGGCGTTTGCCACATGGTGATCTTTGCGAGGAAACCCCCCTCGAGCACGCTGCCCCCGAGCAGCCCCTGCTCCAGCCACGGGGAGTGACCCGGCTGCCGCCAAGGCGAAGGAGAAGAATGTTTTATTGCACTAAATGACAGATTTGTACAGAGGAAGATGCTCCGAGTGCTCTCCAGACTCCATTAAACTTCCCCTACAAGCAGCGTTTAACTCTTGGAGTCTTTTCCTAAAAGGCGTGTTGGGATGGAAGCAGAAGGGGGTGGAAATGCATCCTGGTCTTTGCTTGCAGGTCTGGAGCAAGCCACAACTCTGTGTTTGAAATAAAATATTTAACTTGTGATGGTGGGAAAAAATTGACCCTTTTTTTTGCTGTCAAAATTAAATTTGCTTGAGGAAGCAGTTTGTCCTGGAAAACTCTGCTCGAGTTATAAACAACTTCTCTGATAATCCTGAGTATTTTCTGCTGCGTCCAGTGTGTGGTTCCTGCTGTGCAGCTCCTGGGATTTTGGCTGCTGTGGGACTGGTGCCACTTGGCTGCTGAGTGCTTTGGGAAAGGGTGTTTGGCTTCTGCAAGGAAAGAATGTGAAGAATGAGAAAATGTGGCAAAAAAAAAAAAAAAAGAGAAACTACCACATTCTGGGCTGGATAAATAAATTTGTTCCCGGCCCTATTTTGAGCCTGGTTCCTCTCACCCTGCCTGCAGCACGTCACGAGCCCCGTGCTCAGAGCCACAGAACTGGGAACAAATAAAAAGTAAATAAATCAGTAAATAAACACATAGAGCTCCCTTTCCAGCTCTTCCCTGGGGCTTTGTTTGGGGGATCCTGGGAAGGGACACGGCCAAGTGCTGCCTCCCTGCTGCGGGTGGGGCAGAGCCAGCTGAGCCCGGGGGCTGTGCTCTCCTGGCTGTGACGGGGTCACTGTCCCCTGCACCCCTGGGCCAGAGCCCTGGGCTGGGGCTGAGGCACCCCCTGAACCTCAGGGCTGATGGGATGGAGCCCCTGGCCGAGGCTCCGGGGTTTGCTGCTCCATCCCACGTTCCCAGGGGAGCGGGAAGCCCCTATTTCCCCATTTCCCTATTTCCCCAATTTCCCCATTTCCCCCCAGGGCTGCTGCCAGCCCACCCTGCCCGTGCAGAGGCTGCTGGAGCAGCAGGGAGTTGTTTGTGCTTGCTGAGGCATGGGAGAAGGCAAAGAGCCCCTCTCCTGTCCTGGCTGCACAGAGGTTTTTCCACGGTCCGCTTCTGGGTGAAACCATCTTCACACTGCTCCTGCTCCTCCAGGAGCGGCCTCCTCAGCCCTCAGGTGGATGGCAGAGCTATTTACAGGCACTTCTGTGGCAGGAAACGGCGTAGGAAAAGGTTGGAATCATCCCTGGAGAGCCAGGAATGGTAGCTGAGGTGGCTGAGAGAACAAACCCGTTTTCCTTTGGTGTGTGGAAGGGTTTGCACGTGTGCTGGCACTCTGTGGGAAGGTGTCCCACGTCACCCTGTGACAGTGTCCCTGCAGGGGGGTGGCCAGCTCCAGGGCTTATGGGGTGTCATGGGCTGCTCCTTGCTCTCCTCTCCCTCCCACGAGCTGATTTTGGTCTCGTTTTCCCTGCAGCAGGGGCAGTTCTGTGCAGCTGGATCATGCCTGGAGCTCAGGAGTCTTGAAGCTGCCTTGGAAATGTTCTGGCAATGCAGCTCCTGCAGCAACGGGCCAGGGCTCTGAAGGATCCAAGGCAGGGAACGATTTTATCATTAAAAAGTAGTTGGAAATGCATTATGTCCTTAGTGAAGGCTGAAGCGTTGCTTCTCCAGGACAAATGAGAGTAAAATGGAAACAGGCGAAACCACGTGTTCTGAAAAGCACTTGTGGGAACAAAGGGGGAAAACCCACAATGAAAGCAAAAGGGAAAAAAACCCAAAACCCAAACCCCCAACAAACCCCCGGCGTGCTGGCTTTGGCAATTCCTAAAGTGAGTTTTTCAGTAACTCCACTTTATGGGAAATGTTGACTTTTCTGTTGTTGCTGAGGATAAAAGGGGCCTCCCAGAGGTGCAGATGACAGCGTGGTGATTGTGTTTCACTCGTGCCCTTTGTACACCAGTGCAGGGTCCTCTGCTCAGCCCCAGCTGGAACATTCACTGCTATTTCGGAGCCCTGAGGTGCCAGGGCTGCCACGGAGGGGCTGTGGGGCACTGGGGCACCACTGCCTGTGCTCTGTGTTCCAGGTGAGGCTGAGCCCTTAAAATAAACCCCAGAGGTGTCCTTGGGGCCCAGCTGGGCAGGGAGGAGCAGGGATCCCTGCCCGAACATGTCCTGGGGGCAGGAGGGGCTGGGGGCACCTCCTGGGGCTGGGCTGGAATTGCCCCCGGCTCTGGCAGCAGCAGCTCCAGGCTGGAGCATCCCTGTCCTGCTGCCAGCACTGCCAGGACAGGTGCCAGCGCTGCCAGGACAGGTGCCAGAGCTGCCAGAACAGGTGCCAGCGCTGCTGCAGGAGTGGCTGTGCCAAGCCCAGGGCAGCGCTCAGCCCCAGCTCCCACCCTGACAGCTGGAGAGGCTGTGATGGAGCTGCTGCTGCTGCTCTGCCATCCCTCCCAGCCCTCCCCAAAGCTGTGCCAGGGGTCCCAAGTGCCTGCTCCCACAGACAGGGGGTCCTGTCCTTAGAGGCAGCTCGGGTGGGCTTTGGGGTGGGTGGAACTGGGAGGATTGTCCCCGCTCATCACAGGGGCTGGAGCTTTAAGGGTCCCTTCAGCTCAACCATTGCCACAATTCTGCTGGAGAATGCCCTTCCTGTTTGGCTGCAGGGGCTGAGCCTGGGTGCTGGGAGCTCTTGGAGGAGCCCTGACCCGCAGCTGAGCCAGGGCAAGGCTGTGGCAGCCTGAGCTGGGCTGTGCTGAGTCACTGGTGTGGCATCACAGAGCAGGGCAAAGCTGCCATTTCCCTGCAAGAACTGCCCTCCCCAAGCACTGCTCCCTCCCCAGGACACAAAGGTGCTTTTTGCCTGTCCCAGCACGGTGCTGGGAGCAGTGGTGCTGCTCCGGCTCTCGCAGAGACTCGGCCCCAGTAGGAGCTTGGTATGATGTCAATGTTTTGAGTGGGGGAAGCAGAGGAGGCAAAAATAGACATTTAGACATTTTTCCAGTTATGCCTTTTCAAAAATGAATATTTATAGCTCGGTGCCTGAACACAGGCTCTCTTTGTGAATCTGCTTCCAATCGCAGCACAGCACATCCCCCTGGACCCTCAGGATGTGTGCAGGCAGCTCGGAGCCCCTGGTCAGAGAGGGGGAGCCTCTGTGTCCCTGGGCCTGCTGAGGTGCCCCCAGGCAGGCAGGAGATCCCACAGGGATCTGCATCCCTTGCTACACCCTGCCCTGGCTCCAAAGCCCTCCAAACCAGCACAGGGTGAAGCACGCTGGGGTCTGAGCCTGCATTTCTGTGACTCTGGAGCATGATGAGGGTGGTGGTGAGGGAGGTCACGCCTTGCTGGGTGTGGAAGGCCCAAATCACTCCTTTACACCTCACCTCTGTCTCCCCACCTGTGGAATTGGATAAAGGGCTTCACCACACACTTTTGAAGTGCTTGGAGCCTTTCTCAGGGCGTTGTTCCACCCGAACCACCCCTGAAGGTCTGATGCTGCTGGCGAGGAGCTCTGGGGCTGCTGTCACCAGCTGATCTCTCCAGGTCCTGCTCTCCCTGCCGCAGCAGGAAGGGGAGCCTGGCTGTGGGTGGCAGGTGAGGAGGTTCCAAAGGTCAGGGCTGGCTCTCCAAAGCCTGTGGGGGCTGTTCTTTCTCTGAGGCTGTGCTGCTGCCCCTGGCCAGGGGTGCTGGCGGGGTCTGGCAGTGCTCTGCCCCCGGGCTGGTGCCCCTGTGGTGCTGCTCCGAGGGGCTGCCTTGGGAACCTGAGTTTAGGGGTTCTGGAGAGCAGCTGACAGAGGGTAACCCTGACTCGTGTGGGGGCAAAACTCCCAGCTGGTTGTGATGGGAAAAGCCCTGTGGGCAGAGGGTGGGGCTGATGATGCCTGCGAGGCTCTGCAGGGGGGTTCAGGGCCCTGCAGGGTCTCTCCTGTGGGATCCAGGGGGTTTTAACTCTTGCACCTTAAGGGCAGGAAGAATAATCCTGATGAGCAGTGGGTTACAGCCTGGCTCGCTGTGCCCTGTGGTTCCGAGGGGGAGCCTCCAACACGTGCCCAGAAATCTCCATCTCGCCTCAAAGCGCTTTTCCTCAAGTCCTGGGCTGACCTCTGGCCTGTTCTCCAGGCTGCTGGAGCGGGACAATGCCCCCACTGCTGTGCCTTGTCCCACAGAGCCCAGCTTTGTGCCAGTTCCTCGGGCTCCCCACGCTGGCTGCAGCTCCAAGCCCCCCCTGCTCCCCATCCCTGCCCGCTCCAGCAGCCTCTGCTGCCTCAGCACTGGCATTTGGATCCTCCCCTGCACTGGCAAAACCACAAAGGTCGAGTTTAGGAACAATAGCACTGAAAATCAGTAACTCTTCCTCTGGAAAACGCAGATCAAAGAGCCAGAGCACCACAGAAGGGGTTTGGTTGGAAGGGACCTTCAGGAACGTCAATTCCAGCTCCTGCCGTGGCAGGGACACCTTCCCCTGTCCCAGGGACACCCCCCACTGTCCCAGGCTGCTCTAGCCCCAGTGTCCAGCCCAGGGAACAATTCCTAATTCCCACTATCCCATCCAGCCCTACCCTGAAGCCATTCCCTGTGTCCTGTCCCCATGCCTTGTCAATTCTCTCTCTCCATCGTTCCTGCAGCTCCTTCGGGCCCTGCAAGTCCACCCTGAGCTCAGCCCAAAGCTTCTCCTGCCCAGGTGAGCAATGCCAGCTGTGCCAGCCTTTCCTGCCAGCAGAGCTGCTCCATCCCTGGCATCATCCTGGAGCCTCCTCTGGGCTCTGCAGCAGCTCCAGCTCCTCCTGTGCTGGGGCGGCTCTGCAGGTGGGGTCTCACCTGAGCACAGGAGCACAACCCTCCTCAGTCTGCTGCCCACCCTGCTTTCTCCTCCAGGAGTTTGTGCCTGGCTTTGGGGGCTCCACAGCAGGATGGCAGCCGAGGCCAGCCCTGCTCTGATGCTCACAGTCCCTCCTGTGCTTTCTCTCTGCCCACACGTGGATGCAGCAGAACATTTCCTGGAAGATGCTCCAGCAATTAAATCAGCATCGATCGCCGGGAGCTGGGAGTGGC